CTGGTCTTCACAGCAGGAAGACCTGGGGAAGGTGTGCTGGGTCCCATTTCTTCCCTCTCCTCGTGTCCCTAGATTCTGCCCTGAGCCTTCTCTGACCTGGGCCCCCAGTCCCTTGGTGTATTCCCCTTAGGGATCCTGGCCCTGTATCCTCAGGTGTATTATCTGCAACACCCCATTGCCCTGTGGTGTGGCCTCAACCACTCCCTGGTGCTGAGCCAGGGCTTGGACTTCAGCAAGGAGCTGCTGGGCTGTGGCTGTGGGGCTGGAGGCCGCCTCCCTGGCTGGCCTAAGGGAAGCGCCTCCTTCGTCAAACTCCATGTCAAGGTCAGAGCAGGGTCAGGCGAATGGGCAACCAGGGAGGGCAGGTAGCCCACAGGATTCTGGCTGTGGCTACTGTGGGGCCCCAAGGGCCCCGTTTCCCCAATACCACCCACCTCCCTTTTCTGCCGGGCACCATGGCTCCTGGCTCTCTCTCCCTTAGCAGATCCTGCTGGTACTCTCTGACCTCACACAACCTTGGGGTTCAGCCAGCCAGCTAGCTCATTTGCTGGCTCAGGGCTGGTCTGAGGGGGAGAGACACAACATCTGGGCTTCGTGGGAACCCCTCAGTAAAGACCCCACTCAGCCATGCCCCTTCTCTCTCCCAAGGTCCCTTTGTGTGCCTGCTCCCTCTGCTCTACCAGAGAGTGTCTCTACATGCTCTCCAGCCATGACATTGAGCAGCATCCCGCTTACCGAGATCTACCAGCCAGCAAGGTGGTGGGGACCCCTGAACCCAATGCAGGGTCCGGAGTACTCCAGGACCCTGGGGGGACAGCTTGGGCCTGTAAGGAGTACCTCAGCCAGATCTACAGTTGCTCCACGTTGCAGGACCGCATGGAAAAGATGAAGGAGATCGTGGGCTGGATGCCCTTGCTGGCTGCACAGAAGGATTTCTTTTGGGAGGCTCTGGACATGCTACAGAAGGCTGCTGGAGGGGTTGGACAAGGCCCCCCAACACCTGAGAGCTGACCCCCCTCTCCTAGTCTTACCCTGGAGGGAGAGTCTGGCTCTGGGCCAAAGGCTAAGGAGAGACGGAGTGATAGCAATGAACACTGTGCCATGGGAAGGGGGACACAGTGGGGTGGGGACTGCTGGACATGCCAGGGTGGGGAGGGAACTGTTTTGTAAAATGTTTGGTGGCTGCCAAGGAGGGGCCTCCAATCTTACTATCATGGACAAGAGATTTGATGGACAAATAGAATAAAAGGCTGAAGTGAGGCCTAGTTTGGGACCCTGGAGCCTGGGAGGACAATGGGGCACGGAATGGGGGACCCGATGCCTAGCTCAGTGGGTAAGGGAGGGCAGGAGCATAGACAGGGGCAGGCAGAGCAGCAGCTGCTCAAGCACCTTCAGCTTGCTTTCCCCCTCCACGCCCAAGACCTGACCCAATCTTCTTGACAGGAAATCCTAGCCCTGCCTTCTGGAACAACATATGCCAGCAGTCGCCAACCTTTCGGACCTCACAGACCACCAGTGGCCATATGCTATTTGGTGCCCCCCACTGGATCCTCTTATTCCGATTCTGCAGAAGTCATTTCTGACTTGTGACCGTTTTCTATACCTTTTCCTTCATCCCTGTGAAGTCAACCTCCCTCTCTGCTTTCTGTTTACCTCCAGATCTGATCTTACATGTCCTTTTCCCCCTACTTTTTACTCTATCCTCTTCCTGCAGAAGGGAGACGCTCCCTTTATCCACATGCCATGCCTCCCTGCCCCATTCCTGTACTTCCAGATAATTTGGGAGAAAATGGGTAAGCAGAATTCTTTTCTTCTTGGCCTAGTCTGGCCTGGGGATAGAAGATAGTGGAAATTTGAAGCGGAAAGTAAGTTGGAGCAGGTGGTGGTCAGGAAGGGGGTGAATGCTTAAAGGTTGGGAGTCCAGGAAAGGACTTTCTCTGGGTGCTAAGGAAGCAGCACTGGAGAGGATCATGAGTGGGCTGGAGCGTCCTGGGGAAGGACCAGGGCTCTGTTCACAGGATGCTTGGACACTGGACAGAACGGGCTTCCAGATGACATTACTTGATGCCTAGGTTATGGCTGAGGTCCTGATGCTCCCTCAGCCCTTCATTGCTCTTCCCACTACTTAGGTCAATATTTATGTGTCCTGTACCCAGAGAGGCCCCTGGACTCACCACTGTCCGGGTTCCTCTCTCCCTGTCCCGCCTTCCCCACCGCCCTCCCCACTGGCCAGTCCCCACGCCCACACATCCGAGGCTGCCTCATCTGGCACCAATTATCCCTGCTGCCGCCGCCGCCGCTACTTCTGCTGCTTCTGCTGCTAAACTCGGCTGCTGCCTCTGTCTTGGGGACCCCAGTGCCTCTCCCCTCAGCCATGCAGCCTGCTGCCACAGCCTTCCTCTTGGGGCTCCTCCTCCCTGCCTGGACCCTGCTGCCTTTTGCCCAGGGCCAGACCCCCAACTATACCAGGTAGGTCTCTTGGCACCTTCTAGTTAGCTTAAGTGGGCTTCAAAAGCCAGTTCCTGAAGGGTTATGCCTGTGGATCTTGTGGATTCTTTTTCTAACACATAACCCCCAAGATCTCCCAGTTTCTACTCTTCTCTGGTCCCCAAGTCTGCCCTCCCTGCTACAAGACCACTGTCTCCTGTAGGTCACCACTGCTCCCCGTTTCCTCAACCTCTGTCCTCTTCCTTCTAAGCCTCCCCATTCACTCCATGGGACCTGAGAAGGCCAAGACCTTGAACTTGCTTGATACCTGGACATCTGGATTCCAGGAAGGCAATTAGAAATTATGGGGGAACGCGGGGCAGCAAGTGGGAGACTTGAGGTCAGATACTCAAGTAGTTTAGCTCCAACAGAAGCAAAGAAAAGATAGAGAAGTCAGGGAGCCTGGTCTCCAGGTTCAATTTGAGGGCCATCGCTGCTGCTTCTCACTCACCTCCCCACCCCCTCCCCCGCACAGCCTCGTGGCGTGGCTGTGTCTACATCTGGAAGTAGTTAGGAAGCTGCTGTGGACTGCCTGGCAGTGCAAAGGGGGGAGAGTAAGAAGGGGGGCTGAGGAGGATTCCGGAAATTCCTGTTGTGTTGGGGGTGGGGACTGGGAGTTGGAGGCATAGCTAAGTTGCTGGCCCTACTTTTTCCTGATCCTCTACTCTAGTACTTCCCACCTCAATTTCATCTTGGCTGGCTGAGGCCATCCCAGATCCCTTAGGCCTTTCTCCCTCCTCCTCAGGCTTTCCTATCCTCATTACCCCATCCCAGTCTGTCCACTACTCCCCCACCCATGGCTGACCCCTCTTCTGTCCTCCAGACCTGTGTTCCTGTGTGGAGGGGATGTGACTGGGGAATCAGGTTACGTGGCAAGTGAGAGTTTTCCCAACCTCTACCCCCCCAATAAGGAGTGCATCTGGACAATAACGGTGAGAAGGCCCCTCTGGTCACTACCCCTTGTCAAAGTCTCCAAGGCTTGGGTCCAGGCAGTCAAAGGCCCTCCCCCAGCACTATTACTCCCTGGAGAAGTCCAAGACCCCTCCCCTCTGGTCACTGATCCATCAGATTCCACAATAATACGTGGCAAGTGTCCTCACTCAACCCTTAATTCAAAGCCTGCTGCTCCATTCCTAACTCCATTCCTGCCCCTGTAAATCTCTCCATAGGCCTCAAGTCTTGTCCCTGCATAAGCCACAGCCTGATGCAGAGCCCAGGCCCTCTGCTCTGCACCCTGTTGGGGTTCCTCCATGTTCAGGCCCAAGTTTCTCTAGGAAATGCTTGGGGAAAGGGAAGTGCCCTCTGCCTGGGTTGTGTATGACCTGACTTTGTAGGTCCCTGAAGGCCAGACTGTGTCCCTCTCCTTCCGAGTTTTTGACCTGGAGCTACACCCTGCCTGCCGTTATGATGCTCTGGAGGTCTTTGCTGGGTCTGGAACTTCGGGCCAGCGGCTCGGACGCTTCTGTGGGACCTTCCGGCCAGCACCCATAGTGGCCCCGGGCAACCAGGTGACCCTGAAGATGACAGCGGATGAGGGTACAGGAGGACGAGGCTTCCTGCTCTGGTACAGCGGGCGGGCCACCTCGAGCACTGGTGAGAGGTCCCTCACCTTCTCCTTCCCCTTCTCCTGGTCCCACCCTGCCAAGGCCCCGCCCTCAGCCTTAACCTTCACCCCAAGATCCTAGGTCCCCATTGCCTCCCTTTCCCTTTTTCCTCACTAACTGCCCCTCCAGTCCCTCCTCCCCATCTTCTCTCCCCTCTCCCGCTCCCGCCACCCCCCTCTTCCAGGCCCCACCCCAGGCGCGAGGCGGAAATGGGTCACCGACCCGCGGGTGGAATGGGCGGCCTGGGGTTACTGGGACGGTGAGTAACTGCCCGCCCCCGTCCGCAATCGGGCTCCCTCTGACTGGCGTGAGGGGGCCCCCCTGGGAAGGGAGACCAGGTTCCTCCGACCCAGAGCCCCCTACACCCAGCCCGGGGCTCCCGATTGCGGTCCCATCACCTCCTCCTGGCGGCAGAAGTCTCCCCTAAAATATTTAAGGCCTCCCAAAGGGGCTGATGCCCCAATTTGAGGGGACCCTCACAGCGTGGGGACTCTCGAGCCTGCAAAGGGGACTTCTCTGCCGGGTAGAGGAGATGGGATCTAACAGGGGAAGAGGAACGGTGTGGCAGCGGGTCAGGGGGAGGGGCAATAAGGGGCGTGTCCAACCAATTCCTCCTCCCCCTTCCACCACCTGCCTGGGTGCCCGGAGGTCCTGCGCCTTGCTCCTCCTCTGCTAACCTACCCACCGTTTCCTTCCCCTCTTCTCGCCCCTCATCCTGAGACCCCAACATCCGACCTTCCTGCACGAGCTCCCAGCCTAGAGCTTTTCTCAAGCTGACCGAGGGTCTCTACTACTCCCACCCTACTCCTCTCTCCCCTCCCCAGAGCACCAATTTTGTGGGGGGCGACTGGAAAAGGCCCAGGGAACACTGACCACGCCCAACTGGCCCGAGTCTGATTACCCCCCGGGTATCAGCTGTTCCTGGCACATCATCGCACCCCCAAACCAGGTACCGACCCCCTTTCCAGGGAGCGGGGGCTGCCCTCCGGACCTGAGCAGTGTCCTCCAGCGTGCAGCTAGCAAAGACTTATTGAACATCTACTATGTCCTAAGCACTGCGCTTGCGCTGCTGGGAAGCAAAACAGACCCAACCTGCTTGCATGCAAAAAAAAAAAAAAAAGTAAAATTATACCTGTGATCAGTGAGGTATCTGATGCTGATAAACTTATGTGTGTGTGTGAGTGTGTGTGTGTATATGTGGGAGTGTTTGTGTGTATTTGTGTGTGTTTGTGTGTGTGTGTGTTTGTGTGTGTTTGTGTGTTTTTGATGTGATGTGTGAGCGTTGTGTGTGTGTGTTTGTGTGTGTGGGTGTGTGTGTGTGTGTGGTGATGGGGAGGTGGTGGAGATGGTGGAGGTGGTGGGGAGGTGGAGGCGGGGGGTTTTGGGTCTATTCCTTGAGAATGAGCCTGGACTTGACCTTGCCCACCATGGCGGAGGGCGCCACTTCAGGATTCCTGTGTATGTAATCCTCTGAGCTGTGGTATGAATACATTAAGAGGAGGGTGCAAGGGGACACGGGAGGTGAGAGGAGGCTGCTGTAAACATCCCCAAAGGAAGTGAGAGGTGCCAAGCAGCCTCTGCCCTGTGCCCTGCCATCAGGTGATCTCGCTGACCTTCGGGAAGTTTGACGTGGAGCCGGACACCTACTGCCGCTATGACTCGGTCAGTGTGTTCAATGGAGCCGTGAGTGACGACGCCAAGAGGCTGGGGAAGTTCTGCGGAGACACCGCCCCGGGGTGAGAGGACAGGACCTGGGTGGGTGCAGGTCCTGGGTGCCTCCCCAGGAGTCTGACCGATGGCTGCTGCTGAGATGGGAGGGGCTTAGCTGAAGAGGCGGGATCTGAACCCATGAGCTTCAAACCAGTGGGTGGAGCAAATAGGGTACTAGTCCCTGCATCAGTCCTGTGGACTTTGGATACAGAAGCGATTGGGGCCTAAGAAGTCGAGAAGCTAATGTAGCCAACTTGGGGGTGGGCGCCTGGGTAAAAGCGGGGTGCAGGCCTTCTTGATACCTCCCACAATGCCCTGCTGCCGCCTGCAGTCCCATCTCCTCCGAAGGAAATGAGCTCCTCGTCCAGTTCGTCTCGGACCTTAGCGTCACTGCCGATGGATTCTCAGCCTCCTACAGGACACTGCCGCGGGGTGCCGCCAAAGAAGGGCCAGCTCAGAGCCCGGGAGAGGATGCCCGGCCGGGTCCCCCGCTCCTTGGCCCGGGCCCCAAGCCAGGAACCCCGCCCAAAGTCAAGCCGGAACCCCCACCTGCGGAGAAACCAAAAGCCACGCCTGAGGTCCAGGCAACCCCTGTGGGCCCTAGTGAGTCTGAGAAGGGGGAGGAAGAGGATGTAGATTGAGTTCATTCTTGGGCTTGCTCATTCATTCATTCATTCATACAACACTCACTGGTGCCACCTGTGCTAATAATGGTTGGTACTGGGTACTGAGACCCAAAGCTGGATAGAACTTTGAACAAGTTCAAATCAATGAGGCTGTTATGGGGAAAATAGTCCCTTCTACCTGCTAGGTAGGTCACCTTCCACAAAAATTGTCCCCCCCTCCTCCTAGATGCACCCAGTGTCACCTGCCCAAAACAGTGCCGGCGGACAGGCACCTTGCAGAGCAACTTCTGTTCCAGCAATCTGGGTAAGAAACCTCATTCACATGCTCTGCTCTTCCAGATCTTCTAACTTTCCCTCCTGTCCCCAAAGTACCCTCCCCCTTTGGGCTCTAGCCTTGCCCTAGCCTCCCTCTCCTCACCTCTCACCCTCACTCTCCCACAGTGGTGACGGCAACAGTGAAGTCCATGGTTCGGGGCCCAGGAGAGGGCCTTACTGTCACTGTCAGTCTCATTGGTGTTTACAAAACTGGAGGCTTGGACCTGCCCTCTGCACCTACTGATACCTCCTTGAAGTTTTACGTGCCTTGCAAGCAGTGTCCCCCCATGAAGAAAGGTAATAGGGATGTGGGGTAGAGGAGAAGGGTACTTGGCTTCATGGAAATGATAGAGGTGGTAGAATATAAGGGGCTCAGACGGGGAGGTACATCTTTAAGGTATATAACATGAGCTCTCAATCTCTCCCTTCCCTCTCCCAGGAGCCAGTTATCTGCTGATGGGCCAGGTGCAAGAGAACAGAGGTCCTATCCTTCCTCCAGATAGCTTTGTGGTCCTCTACCGGCCCAGCCAGGATCAGGTCCTCACCAATCTCAGCAAGAGGAGGTGCCCCTCTCAGCCTGTTCGGGCTGCTAGGTCCCAGGCCTGAAATCCAGGCCAGCCTTGGCCATTGGCCCTAGGGATCCATTTTTTAACCAAATAAATATTCTTTGACTGGGGAAGGGATCACATATCCATTTTTATGGTTTTGGTGCCCATCTTGGGGATTTATTTTCATTCACTCAATAAACTCAACAGACATTTATTTTATAGAATTTTTTAAGAAACCAAGTTGGATCTTGTCACCCCTTTGCTAAAAACTCCCTATATTCTCCACACACAAGCAAACACACACACTATGGTAACTATAGTGTGTCTCCCCATAAATGTATATACACACTTTGAATAATTATAAAGGCAGTGTTTACTAAAATACATTGCATTTTTAAAACTGAGCTATCAGCTTATAAAGTGTGTATACATTTTTAGGGACACCCTGTCTTTAGAGATGATGGATATATTAATGAGTTTGATTGTGGTAATCTTTTCACAATGTATACAAACCATCAAGTTGTAGACCTTAAATATATACAGTTTTTATGTCAAAGATATCTCAAGACTGTTAAAAAGAACATTTAAATGCTCTCCTACAGTTTTCCATCAGTCTTAAAATAAAATCCAAAGTCCTACTGTGGGCTCAAAGGCTCTGGATGTTCTGCATCCTTCATCCCCCTTACTCTCATCTTCAATTATTGTCTTCCTTAAGGTCACTGTTCCAGTCACACTGGCTCTATGACTATTTCAAGTACAATGGCTTTGCCTGTGCTATTCCCTCTACCTGGAATTCTCAATTAGATCTCAGCTCAAAGTTCATTCTAGTCAGTCATTTGTTCATTCCAAATGGCAGGCATTAGCCTTGGCCGGGTGACTCAGTTGGTTAGAACGTCCTCCAGTATGCCAAGGTTGAGGGTTTGATCCTCAGTCAGGGCACATAAAATAATCAACCACTGAATGCATAAATAAGTGTCTATCAAAAAAAATCAATGTTTCTCTCTCTCAAATCAATAAATAAAAACAAAACAAAACAAATGGCAGGCATTGTTTTAGGCACCAACGGTACAACAAAACAAAGTCCCTGCTTTTGTGGAACAGAGATAAATGGTAAAATGAACATAAGGACAAGTAGCTCTATGCGTGCTATCAGGAAAACATGATTAAGAGGACAGACGGGGATTCTCCATTATATGGAGTGCTCAGGGAAGGCTTTTGGATAAGATCCACTGTTTTGCTCCACTGCTAACTGGGTTGCCTGGGGAAGACTGTTCACCTTGCTGAGGTGAATATATGGAATGGTAATGGATGTGGCAATAATAATAATAATGTAAGTGTCAGGGTTGGTAAATCTTAATTCCTATGTAAATGTGATTTCCGAATCCCGTGCAGAAAGGAGAGAATCAGGAGCGGAACCCAGGGCTGAGACTTGAGTCCAACTGGGAGCAACCTCCAACTGCAGGAAACAGCTGTGGTTGCTGCTGAGGCTTCCGGGAGAGCCTGGGATTGAAGTGAGAAAGAGGGCTTCTTTGCGGGATTCTAGCGATCTGACGGTCTCAGAGCGCGGAGGCAGGAACAAAGGCCGCCCGGGCCTCCCAGAGTAACTGCAGAGCTAGTATTCTACAGAGACGTAATTTTCCGTCACCGGGACGTAGTCAATCCCCTCTGTAAGCGCACCAATCGGCGTGCACGTATGGCGGAAACGAAGCCGCCCTGGCCAATGACAGAAGCCGTGTGGCGGAAGTACCCAAACGGCCTCGGGGGCGGGTGGCAGCCACGGTCGACTCACAAGTTGATTGACAGATGCTGTGACCAGAAGGTGAGGATCGTAGCGAAGCCCAAAGAAGCGCGGCCCGATCTCAGGGAGGGGTCGGAGGCACAGGTACCACAGATACAGGTCTCTGCGGGGCAGGCGGTAAGAGCAGCTCCGGAGGAGACCCCGGGGCAGGCGGAGTCTGGCCCAAGCCGGGGCGGAATCCCGGACGCCCGGAAGGGGCGGGACCTAGTGGAGCGGGGCTTTGGGAGGTCTGGAGACCGGGCCGGGCTTGGGAGCCGCAAGGGGCCGGGTTTACCGGGTGGGCGTGACCATCGAGGTGGGGCTTGGAGGCGGGGCCTTGAGGGACCGGGCAGAGCTGGAAAAGCCGAGGGTTCTGGTCTGCGGGACCCTCATCTCGTCGAGTTCCGAGGCGGGGGTGGCGCTCGCCCCAGTCCAGGCCGGTCCCACAATCTCGTCCGTTCCCTTTTGCCCCTCTCGTCCCCCAGCTCTAGATTCCAGGCCCTGTCCCCCGAGCTCAGCCCTCGGATGTCCCACTGCCTAGAGCCTGCATGCGCCGCGGGGCGCCCCAGGACCAGGAGCTGGTGGG